TTATTGAACTCAGGGCCTTGTGCTTGAGGCAGGAGGTGGAACCCCTCAGCTAAAAGCAGTTTTTCTTTAAAACTTTTTTTATACTATCTGACAAGCATTTTGATATACCATATTGGCAGCACTAAAATGGTTTTTATCAAAGATAACTGTTTTTCCTTTTTTTTTTTTTGGTTTTTTGAGACAGGGTCTCACTATGTAGTTGAGACTGAGCTGGAACTCACTATGTAGCTCAGGCTGGTCTTGAACTCACAGCCATCCTCCTGCCTCAGCCTGAGTGCTGGGTGGGATTACAGGTGTGCACCACCATGCCCGGCTAAAGATAACTGTCTTGAAGCTTTCATTTCCAATACAAAATGGAGCTTTATGTAGTGTTTGATTAGAATTGCAAAGTAAGCTTGCTTTGCCATCTGATGGTAGGACAATGTTATGCTGTCACCTTCTGTGGCTATTCCATATGGACACATGAAACCTATCCATCAGCCAGATCTCATACATAAGAATGGAGAAATAAACAAAAATAATGGAACTGCTGTTGTTTAAAAAAAATAAGAAACACATGTTCAAGTGCTGAAAACCAGATTAGATGAAAAAAGCGAGTATCTTGAAGGACTCATGATAGAACAAACTAGCAAAATGTTCTTTATTACTAAGTATCATTGATATCCTCTTGGATACCACAAACATGAAACTGAATCCTCCAAGACAGATGATATTGAAATTCTTGGGAGAATCAAAGAGAAGTGTTATCCTGTGCCTTGTTTGCCATTTGAAAAAAATGCATTTTAGTGTTTTCACTAACGTATTACTCTTTTCATAAAAGAGGTGACACTACAATAGTTCTGACTTTTAGCTCTGGTTTCTTACCTATTTTCTTGGCACAGAATTCAACTACACCAAGGGTCTAAAGCTAAAACTTGGGCTAATCAGGATTCCTACTGCACCACTTAGCTCATTCCAAGTAACTGCAAGAAAGCATGAGATTGTGGCTTGTCTCCATCCTCAGGTGTGACCAAAGAATAACTTGCTACGATACTGACTCTAATTATAGATCCTCTTTATCTTTGATTCTTTCTGTTTATTTTTATTTTTGGTGGTGCAGGGGATTGAAGCCAAGGCTTTAGGGCATGCTAGATAAGCACTACCATGAGAGTCTTCGATTCTCTGCAGGTGAAAAATATACATTGCTTGATGTCTTCTCAGCAGTCATTTTATTCATGGAAGCCTGTATCAAACTTTTATTATGTGGCCCTGTAGCATTAGACATTTGCTAAGTCTGTCTCACCTGCTAGATAATGGGATCTAATTATAATAAAAATGGACATAATAAAAAATACCTACAGCCGGGCGTTGTGGCTCACGCCTGTAATCCCAGCACTCGGGAGGATCGCTGGGAGTTCAAGACCAGCCTTGGCTACATAATGAGTTCCAGGTCAGACTCAACTACATAGTGAGACCCTGTTTAAAAAAACAAAACAAAAACAAAAACCCACCCCCCCACTAGGATCTAGCACTTAGTAAGTACTCATTAAATGTTAATAAGTAGTTGTCCATGTGTTAAATGTCCATGTGTCATGGACAGGGACTTACTTTTTTTTTCTTCAGTGTTTGCTAGTGAACTCGGCCTGGAGAATGCTAGGCAAGTGCTTATGGCTGAGCTGTATCCCCAGCCCAATCAGAACACCGAAGGCTTACAAGGTCTTTGAACCTGGTGGCAGTAGTACTTTTCTTTCCCATTTCCAAGGATCTTTAAGACATCTAATCCAGTCAAATGTTTGAAGCATTTAGATTCTTTTGATTCAGGCTCCCCTCAGGTATCATTCCATTTCTTTGTCAAGCTTAATGCAAAACGCCTTAAGTCAGGAGTAGTTACTTCCTACCCCATGAAATCCAATTTTCTTAGCCCTTTCTAGTTTTCTCTCAACCTACTCTGTAACTTCCAATGGCTTTAAAAGATGCTAAACCCATTAATCCCAAGTTTTTGAATTAAGATGAACACATTGTATTGATCTCATCAATTTTCATGCCTAACTTGCCCTCTCAGCAGCACCAGTAATTCATTGCTGCCATCTTCTGGAAAGACCTTTTTTGTTTTCATGACACTTTCTCTTTTTTTGACACAGGTATCCCAGTGTGGCCTCAAACTCACAATCCTCCTGCCTCACTCATCCTTGAGTGCTGGAATTACAGGGATGTGTGCACCATGTCCAGCCTTGGCTTGCCGCTTACCTCAATGACAACTACTTATTAACATTTTTTTTTTTTTGACAGGGTCTCACTATGTAGCTGAGACTGACCTGGAACTCACTATGTAGCCCAGGCTGGTCTCAAACTCCCAGTGATCCTCCTGCCTCAGCCTCCTGAGTGCTGGGATTACAGGCTGTGTACTACCACACCCGGCTCAACTACTTATTAACATTTAATGAGTACTTCCTAAGTGTTAGATCCTAGTAGGTATTTTTTATTAATTACCTATGAGCAACACTGTGACATAGATAGAATATTGACATATTTTCTTTCTTTTTGCATCTTGTGTGGCTTTAAATAGCATTACTCTGGGGTTTGGTTTACTATTTTCTATTTACACTTATATCACGTTTTTGTTAGTAAAATGGTCCTTGATATTATGAAGTAGTTTATAAGCTGAGTGCAGTGGCACACACCTTTAATCCTGACTACTCAGGGGGCTGAGGCAGGATTGTAAGTTTGATCTCAGCTTGAACAATTCAATTTAGTGTGATAAAGGCCATAGGTTTAACCCCAGTACCACATACAAAAAACAAAAACCTTATTATTTTGAACTCCTAGTTGAAGGTCACTGAGCACTTGCAAAAAATATTGTTTCATTATTTTTTTTTTTCTCAATGCTGGAAATCAAACTCAGGGCATTATGTATGCTAGGCAAACCCTCTACCACTGAGATACATCCCAGCCCAGATATATCTGCACTTTCTGAGAGGGACTTTGTTGTCTAGGCTGGCCTCAAAAGTTGTGATTCTCTTATTACAAAGCTTTTGCACACCACGAGAAACCACCAGGAGAGAGAAAAGACACCTACAGAGTGGGAAAAATTTTTACCAGCTATTCAGATAAAGGGCTATTATCTGGAGTATATAAACTCAAACAAGTCAGACTCTCCCCAAATTTAAAGACCCAGTGCAAAAATGGGCATCTTAAATGAAGACACTTCTCAGTTGAACAATTAGAAATGGCAAATAAATGTATGAAAAATTGTTCAACATCACTTGTAATTCATGAAATGCAAATTAAAACAATGCTGAGATTCCACCTCACTCCAGAAAGAATAGCTATCAAGAAATCAAACAGGGTGGGGGATTTAGCTCAGTGGTTCTGCCGCCTGCCTCATAAGCACAAGGACCCAAGTTTGATCCCCCGTAACAACAACAAAAAGAAATCAAACAGTAACAAATACTGATGGGGCTGTGGGGAAAAATGAACCCTGCTCCACTGCTGGTGGGAGTGTAGACTGGTGCAACCACTGTGGAAACCAGTGTGATTTCTCTAAACACTGAAACTAGAGGTTCCATTTGACCCAGCTAGCCCTCTTCTTGGTATCTTCCCAAAAGAATTAAAAGCATCACATCATAGCAATATATGCACACCCATGTTTACAGCAGCAGTTTGCAGCAGCTAAATCTTGGAAACAGCCCAAATGCCCATCAAGTGATGAGTGGATAAACATTTAAAAAAAAATACAATGAAGTACTCTGCCATAAAGGATGTGCTTCTGACACTTACAGCTAAATGGAGTATGAATGAGACCATATTCTTAAGTGAAACAAATTGGACACACGTGTTTAAATACCAGTTTCTCTGGTGTGAGAGACTGAATGTGGAAATAAGGACTGAGATGTACAGCGGATGTCAGGAAATAGGAAGAAAGTGTTCAAATGGGAAAGGAAACAAGGGGGGAGAAAGGAAGGAACAAGAAAAAAGTGGAAATAGAAGGGAAAAATGGAAACAAAGCTTTTGTACATAGGGAGGGGGTAATGGAATAAAAGAAAACAAAACATGATTCTCCTGCCTCAGCCTTCTGAGAAGGTGGGACTACAAGTGAGTAACACTGTGTTCACCTAAAATATACAATGAACCTTTGACTTACGAATTTGATTAGTTCCCAAGGGCTGATTGTAACTCAAGTTGGTTGTAAGTTAATACAGCTATTTGAATGTTACCTGGGTCCATGCTATAGATAAGAAGCAGATGAATCTTCTATTAACCTAATTAATCCAAGTTGTTTGTATGTCAGGCCGGTTGTAACCACTGTACTTCTTTATATATCTGGTCCAAAATGTGAATTAAAAAAAACCAAAAACACACAAAATCTATGTTGCACAGAGTAGTCTTAAACTCCTAGATTCAAGTGATCTTCCTGTCAGCTTCCTGAGTAGCTGGAACTAGGAAAGAGCCTTGGCAATCACTGGGACCATGAAAGACTCTGCAAATGCTCTAGGGTGCAAGTCTGTAACAGTTTCACAGGAGCAAATCTGGCTGCAGGCAAGTTGCAGCTGGCAGGCCCCACTTTCTAGATTTTCCAGCAGGGAGACTCTAGATAACCAATGGGGAAGATATCCAGGAATCATCTGAGCTAAAAGTGTCAACTGTTGTGAAATCTAAGATAAAAATAAATTGTCTAACCAAACAATAGTGTACATTAGTTGCTGATTATACACGTATTTTTATGAAAACAAAGATAAAATAAGCCTGTATTTGTAAACATTTATTCTCTTGAACTGAAAAAGGCTTGCATCAGTACAATTGTACAGCCTTGCAAATTACACAGAAATTGAAAAGAAGGTTCCTTGTTCGTAAGTGCAATGAATCTCTGATGTCCAGTAATCTGCAAACAATGGAAACAAATTTTAAACCACTTAAGAAGTCTCCAGCACTCATGAAATATATTTCCGTAGGTGACAAAAAATCCACAAGGAGGGGAATTCAAATAAGTGGCAATTAGTAATTGGAGGGACACTTAAAAAAAAAAGTGAGATTTTCCTGACTTGGATGATTCCTATTCCCCTCTGAATTTAAGTGGTTTGATTAAGAGCATTAAGAACATAATTTACTTTACACTTAACATCCATACTACCTAAATGAATAAGGAAGGGATCCTATTGGGGATTTCTGTATCTTCTGGAAAATGTTTCTATGTTTAGAGATTCAGGGGAAGGGTCATCTTTTATTTGTGGGCTTTCAGCACCCTCAGCCCTCCAAAAGAATGGTACATGGTTTCTGACTTGGTTATTCCATGCCTGTATTCTTACCCCCCCAAATCCTGAGCTGGGTCACACTGTGCTGGCTGCAAAAAGAAATACAGGTTGCAACTGGTTATAGTAATTTTGAAGAATAATTTGCTGTACAATAGAGCTTTGGATCTGATACAAGAATTCAGAAATATAAAACAAAATAACTATAAAAGTTAGGAGGCATTTGAACAGCATTTCCTTAGAAAAAGCTGCTAACTTTGTATCATTCTGGTGTGGATTTCTATAATCAGTAGGGTAAAATGTGTATCTCTTTTTCCCTCTTTTCTGGATCACTGGCTTTTTTCCAAAAGATATAACCCCATGACCACACATCCCAGGAGTCTCTAAATGTTAACAGAAGCTCCAAATACCAAGCCAATCAGAGTCGGGAGAGGGCAGAGCAATCAGAGGTGAAGGGTCCAAAGGTAGCTGTGTTACTGAGAACTTGCCCTTTCCAAAATGTGAAAGTCATAGTGCTTCTTGCTTGTTCTCAGCTTAAACTTGTTAACTGAGTTAATTTGTTTCTTCAGTGCATTTTGTGCAGCTGAAATGGAGGGGAATGTAGCTAAGACAGTGTACGTAGAGGCCAAGTCATTGGGTTTGGAGCGTTCAGGGTTGACAGTGCTGTCCCCACTGCTACAGCAGACGGCATGACGACGCAGCTGGGGCTGTGACTGGGGGTCCCGGAGCCACCGGATCTTGGCGCCAATTTTGAACAGTTCCCCAAAAAGTTTCTCGGCTTCCATGCGAGTTATTCCATCTGGTAGTTCAGTAATTTCCAAGACCTTCCCAACAACTACAATGGGAAAGGTGTAGAATTAATACATTACTGCTGCCAAAAAAGTTGGTTAAAAAGTATGCAGATTCAAATAGAATATGAGAAACAGAAATTTCTGAAACTATATACATACGTACATACATATATATCTTTTTTTCTTTTTTTTTTTTTTTTGAGACAGGGTCTCACTATGTAGTTGAGACTGACCTGGAACTTACTATGTAGCCCAGGTTGGTCTCGAACTCACAACAATCCTTCTGCCTCAGCCTCCCGAGTGCTGGGATTACAGGCCAGAATTTTCTGAAATTATTAAAAGACCACAAAATTTTAATTGTTAAGGTCCTCTTTTAAATCACTCCTACTTACAAGTTAGGCAAGGGGTATAGACTATTGTCACCTTCACTGATAGATGATGCATAGTTAAAATATGCAGCACTGAATAGTGGCTTCTCTAAACTAGGCGATGTTGGGCAAACTTTTGTTACCATTGTAAAATAAAGACATCAATTGTATTTGGCATCCAAGGCTGCTAAACAGGATGGCAAAGTACACATGTGAAGGAACTTCTCCACAGAGAGGCAATACATTCATTCAGATTGTCTCCCAATGGGATTAAGGACAACCTCTTTCTCAATGAATAGAGGCCGTTTTGACTGATTTCCTCAGTCTCATCTTTTCTCTGAGGTCCTTCCATCTCATCTAAACCCACCTGCACCTTGCTATACATACTCCCACATGTAAAATAGAAAGAGTTAAAAGAACATATTCAAGAACCATAAATGGAAGATGGTAGAATTTCCTGGGACATGTTTTGCAGTAGGAAGAGGAAAGCCCATTTCCATGGTGTGATGTATTTTCAAAGAGAATTACCAGTTTGTAGACTCACATCTAGTTGCCTCTTGGGGACCAACATACCTGCTTCTCCTGCTCCAAGGTCTGTGGATGCAGCTTTCTTAGCTTGTCTCCTTCCTCGGTTTCCATGCCTGCTGCCAGCCTGACCCTGGAAATCCACAAATATTTGAGATATAAGTTAAAATGCTGAAAAATGTGTTTACAAGGGCTAAACACTTAGCACCTAGTGTACTTTGTATTTCAGCAGAAATAAACCAGTCCTAGGCCTCCTGGGATTGTGCTCTGCAGAATGGAGCTTCCATCGCCCACTATGATCAGTCACCTGCTGACTACCCTTCATCAGCAGGGTGCTCTGACCCTCACTCACTCCCCATCTTTTGGTGGCACTAGGAAACTATTTCTTGGCTAAACAGCAGGCTAAACTTGCTTTCCTGATTGGGCAGGTACTAACAGGCATGAAGCAGCTGGCAAGGGAAACACAGCTCATTTTAACCAGAGCCAACCTGGTGCCCTCACACTCTCAGCAGTGAAAATACGGTGTTCTGTGACAAAACTAGGAGGTCAGAGAACTGCCTTTCATACCTGTTGGCTTGAAATGTGTCCATGCATAACAGCAGGAGGGTTGTACTGCAGTGGCTGGCCAAGCAATGGATACCTGGCATCTCCTGAAAGTCAAAAATAATTTTCTCTCCTAGGTTAAAATGTACTTCCCAGACTTTTCTGAATTGCTCAAAACAGATGAACAGAGGAAACAAATGGGGCAGAATTAAATTTGCATAGGTAATTAATATTTTTTAAAAACAAAATTTCTACATATCCTTAGAGAGTTACAGAGAACTTTTTTAAAAAAAATCTTGGCCTTTATTTTTATTTTTTTTTACTTTGGTACTGGTGATTGAACACGGGTCCTTGTGCTTGGGAGGCAGGCAGTAGAACCACTGAGCTAAATTCCCTGGCCCCTATAGTGAACTTCTGAAAAGATTAGGACTAGTAACAGTAGTTATGAAGAATGGTAAGGGATGGGAATTTGGTGGACAGGGGACAAGACTGAGAAAAACTGTGTATACTTTTAAAACTATTAGTTGTTTTTCTTGAACCACGTTAATATACCATCTATTGAAAAAGGAAAATAACTGTAAAAAAGCAGATGAAAATGAAATATACAAAATGGAAGAAGAGAAGACTCCAAGATAACATTGTTATTAAATTCGAACATCCCACATACAATTCACCAAAATAACAAATGCTTATCTACCCACTAGAGATGCTGAAATCCATAATTCTTTTATGATTAAAAACTTACTTTTCAGGGGAAAAAAGCACTCTACATAAACTATACTCCTCAGATCTCTATTAATTTCCCACATATATTTTTATGGCTTTAACCAAAAGATGTATTTATGTTCTAGGTTCTTTTAATTTCTCTTTAAATAAAAAATTACATTTACACGTTGTAGCCCGTTTCCAGGTGACAGACATTCAGGTTATGTCCACTTGGGGCTACAACACAGCAAGGTTGTTATACACGTTGTCGCGCAATCCTGTCTTGACATATTTGCACTATTTTTCTTTCATTGAGGAGTAAACTACTGACTTGTATGGCAAGTGACTGACTAAGAAGCTGCCAAAAATTTTCCAAAAGTGGCTTTAATTTTTCCTATTAACAATGCTGAGTACCTTTCTGAGGGCTTAATGGACACTTGCATATTTTCTCTCTGAAATTTAATGTCTATTTGTTTTTCAAAATCACTCACCATATTGTGACTATTTCCTCTTTTAATAATTCTTTAAAACACGATTTTTAGACAGTTGCATAATATTCTTTGCATGGCCATTACTATATTCTCCACTGACAGTCCTTTAGGTTGCTTTAAGTTTCTCTCTCTCTCTTTTTTTTTGGTACTGGGGATTGAACTCAGGTCCTTGCACTTGCAAGGCAGGTGGCAGCACCATTGAACTAAATCCCCAGGCCTCACTCTTTTTTGGTACAGGGGATTGTGCTGGCGAGGCAGGCATGGTACCCCTGAGATAAATACCCAGCCCTGGGTTGCTTAAAATTTTTTTTTTGCTATAGGCTAAACTCTGTGCAATACCTTAGGATAAATCCTAGGAAATAAAATGAATACTTTCCATATTAGCTTATAATCATTTACATGTATGTCTGTTCCTCTCAAGTAGACAGGAGGATGGTGATGGTAAAGACTTTTCCATATGTTTGTAAACCAGGGGCACAGTATGCCCTCAATAAATGTTTGTTGAATCTTTCAAAAAGAAAAAAAAAAAGGGTTTGTTGAATAAGTTTAGTAATAAACCTTTTTTGGCAGGGAGGACAAGGTCTCACTATGTACTTGAGACTAACCAGGAGCTCACTTTGTAGCCCAGGCTGGTCTCGAGCTCACAGAGATCCTCCTGCCTTAGCCTCCTGAGTGCTGGGATTAGAGGAGTGTGCCACGACGCCCAGCATAATAAACTCTTGATACTTACTCTAATATACAAATTAGAAACACTGAATATAGAATATTGTATATTAGTACCATAGATGAGTGGATTATAAATACCGAACTAAAAGTATTAATTAGTAACAATACATTAGGATAAGGATAATATACTGTAAAATGTAGTTCTGTGGAAAACTGAAAGATACTAGTATCAAGATAAACTGCCCGTGACTGGGAATGGATGTCTTACAATTTCTCTGAAGCTGTGTTGAACTTCATATGTACTTACCCTGCCCAGTGACAAAAGATCTAGAAAATTGGGGCATGATGGAAAGTGGTGGTCCAGAGGGACGTATGGTTTTCAGGGTAGATAGCTGAGCTGGTGCCGGTGACTGAGCTGGTGAAATAATGGGACTGCTGAGTTGAGGACTGTGCTGAAATCACAACACATTGAAAAAAAAGGGTCAGCATATGGGCAGGCCTTTTGCAAATTTTCTTTTGGAAGAAAAATACTTTTTTGCCATGCTGAGGATTGAACTTAGGAAGTGTACATGCTAGGCAAATGCTCTACCACTGAGTTAAATCCTAAGTCCAACAAAACTTTTAATTTTTCCTTATTACAAGTATGTACTTGTTATAAAAGATTCAAATATTACAGAAATATATCATCTCCAACTCCCAAAGATAAACACTAACATTGTTTCTGTGAGTATGCATGCACACATCCATTTTTTACAACAGTAGGAAGAGACTATACAACTTTTTTTGAGATCTGCTTTGGACCTCAACAATAATATTGTTGATACATTTGCAAGAGAAAATATATACATTTGTCTCATTCTTGCCCCTCCACATTAAATATTTAAACACTTCAATTAAAAATGGTTTCATCTTTAGAGAACAAAGACAGTACAAAGAATTACTGGATTTCACAAAAGATGCTAACACTTTATTATCACATTTCTCTGTATTTAGTTAGGTGTCACAACGAGGATGATTCTCAGGAATGTGTCAACAAGGTACTTGAATTGGGTGACCATCACAGAATGTACTATACAGACTAAGACAGCTACAATGTTACTAGACTGTTTTTTTTGGTACTGGGGACTGAACTCAGGACCCTGTGCTTGCCAGGCATGCATGGTGCCACTGAAGATGACAGACATTTTTTGGCTCCATTATCATCTTTTCTATTTGTACTGGAAATTGAATCAATGTGAGGCAAATACTCTATCATGAGTTATATCCCCAAGTCCACAAGTTTTCTTTTTTCTGAAAATAATTTGTAAATGAGCTGCACATGTACCGTTTAAAAAAAACCTTTTGTTTTGTTTTGTTTTGTTTTTGGGTACTGGGGATTGAACTCGGGTCCTTGCTCTTGCAAGGCAGGTGGCGGAACCACTGAGCTAAATCCCTGGCTGCACACATACCATTTAATCCTCAAATTAATAATGTCTATGCCCTAAGGCTATTTTCTTATCTAAGTACAGTACAATCATCAAAATGAGGAAATATAACACAGTACCTAACCTAGAAAATTTATTCACATTTTCCCAAATGTCACATTACTGTTCTCTATAGTAAAACAGAACACATAATTTACCCTTCAACTCTAGAATCCTGACCAGAGTCAAAGACTGCATTTAGTTGTTGGCTCTTTAATTTCTAACATGGTACATAGCCTCAGTCCTTATTCCCTTTGATGACTTTTTCTGGGAAGATTCTTTTCTAAAGATCATTTTGAATATAACTTGTTTCTTGTAGATAAGCTATTTTGTAGAATGTCCCCAGTTTGGGTTTGCTGTGGCCTCATACAATGTTTATGTTATTTATTCTGAGAAGAAAAACCAGAGACGATGTTTTGTCTTTCTCAATATTATCACATCAAAGGTACCTGAATGTCATCTTATCACCGCAGTCCTGGTAGTAGTTAATTCTACCTCTTGATGAAGATGCTGCCTGCCACGTTTCTTTACCTTAAACTATTTTTTCCTTTGTGGTTTGAGTTAACTTGTGCGAAGACCCTTTATAAAAGTGCCCTATTTTACATCAAACTTTCTTTTTTTGTTGTTGTTTTTTGATACAGAGTCTTACTATGTAGTTCAGGCTGGCCTTGAATTCACAGCAATCCTCCTGCCTCAGCCTCCCAAGGGCTGAGATTACAGGCATGTGCCACCATGCTCAGTTGTATCAAACTTTCTTTCACCACTAGTTTTAGCATTTAGTGGTTCCTCTTGCTTGGCAGTTTTCTGGTGGTGATTTTCTAAGTCTGTGATGCCTTTTTTATTTACCACCTTACATTCTTCTGTAAGAAAGTTTCACCATTCTCTTCAATTTATTCATTTATATCAGTATGGACTCATGGATTATTTTATTCTGTGGGTGATCCTTTCTACTATTATTCTTTTATGCTCAAACCATCAAGCCAGATCTTTTATCTTTTGTCATATCCCAGCATTTTTCCAGCTCTCTCCTCTGGCACAGCCAGATGGTGTAGGCTCCTATTGTACTTCCCTTGAACCAAACTTAGCAACAGTTATTTTTCTAAGGGGCTCTGGTTTCTTTTAGTGGATAACAGTATTTTAAAACTACCTTCGGGGTGGACTGGGGATTTAGCTCAGTGGTGTTGCTGCCTGCCTCGAAAATGCAAGGTCTCAAGTTCAATACCCAGTACCAAAACCAAACAAACAAACAAACAAACCAAAACTACCTTCAGGGTAGTTGGTATACCTTATTATCAGTATATACACTTAAGGGTATTTTCCTATATGGCACAGTAACTTATTTAATTAGCCTTTAAAGAATGTCCAAACTGTTTCAATTTTTATTCCCTTTATTTTGTACTGGTGCTGGGCATCAAAACTAGTCTTGTGTGTACTCACCATGGACTCTACCACTGAGTATATTACAACAGGAGAAAAAGAAATACCATTGTATGTGTGTATATGTATGTGAGCACACACAAATTTATTTTTAAGATAGGATCTCACTGTGTAGGTCAGGCTGGTCTTACACCTCCTGGATTTTGAAATACATCATCGAACTGCATTCCAAAAAGACAGTATGAATTGATATCACCACCAAGGGTATTCAAGAGAGTTTATAATTACGTATGTCTGCCAACATAACAAATGATAGCTTCCCGAATTTTCCCAATTGTACAAGTGAAAGTATTTTGTTCTTATCTTTCTAATGGCTATTGGCCAGGTATAGTTTGTGAGCTGACCTATAAATGAACTTTGCTCTTTTTATTCTGCTATAATTTTGTCAAGTACATGCAACAATTTTTCTTTACCTTAAAGAACTTTTATAAAATCTTTTGCTTCTGTAAAATTTCAAGCATATGAAAGTGTAAACAGAAAAGTATAATTAAGAAAAAAAGTATAATGAATTTCCATGTACCAACCATGCATTATCAATTGTGATTACACCCAACTTGGTTTTCCTGAAGTATTTTAAACAAATCTCAGATATGAGGATATTTTGTCTCTAAATGTTTTAGTATATGAATATTTCTATCTAACAGGTAAGAACTTTTTTGAGGGAGTAATGCTAGAGATTGACTCCAGGATATCATGCATGCTAGAGAAGCACTGTGCTACATTATCAGTAACTCTTTCAAATACGTAACTACCATCTCATACTAAAAAATTAACACAAATAAATATCCTTTAGTAACTCAAAAGGTCCTGATTATTCAGTTTCCAAACAAGAGCCATATATTATATCTGATTACTACAAAAATCGACTTTATAAAACTACAACAGACCCAAATCCCATTATTATCAATTAACTAATTATTGTGATACTGGGGATTGAATGTAGGGCCTCTGTACTGAGTGACATCCCCCTCATTGAGTTTATTGGTACATTTTAGGTATACAGTACAGTTACATTCATCATTGTTTTAATTTCTTAAAGAGAGTCTAGTCCCAAATTTGTAATCCTCATGCCTCAGCTTTCCACTACGTCCAGGTCCAGCTCCCATTTTAAAATGCCATTTATTTGACAGGGCTAATTTGTCTGTCTGGTAAATATCCCATTAGTATCATGTCATTTTTTTCCTTTCTTTTCCCTCTGTTTCTTTAAGTTAGCAGCTAGACAGAAGACTGATTAGATTCGGGCTCCAACATCACAGGTGATAGCATGTACTTTCTCCTATACAACATTAAGGGCAATGTTCTGGTGATGTTACAACTGAACAATGAGTACAACTGATTTTGAGGTTCAGTGTTGTTTGCCTAATCCCTCCATTGTAAAGTCTCCCATGAATGTTTTACCTAATGTTTTTGGCCATCTGCTGATGATTTTTCCTTGATTCATTATTTTAGGTTCCAAAATCACTTTCTATCACTGCTTCTACATTTAGTAACTATTCTTCTATGAAGTAATTTTCCTTCCTTCTCTCTCTCTCTCTCTCTTTTTTGTGGGCACTGGAGATTGAACTCAGGACCTTGCACTTTTGAGGCAAGTGATGGAACCACTGAGCTAAGTCCCTGGTCCTAATTTTCTGTTCTTTTCTTTTTTTTTTTTGTTTTTTTGAGACAGGGTCTCACTATGTAGCCCAGGCTGGTCTCGAACTCACAGTGATCCTCCTGCCTCAGCCTCCCAAGTGCTGGGATTATAGGTGTGTGCCAACACACCTGGCCCTAATTTTCTAATTATTAACTGAACTATAGTTCATGTGGAAAAGGTAGGATAAGCACTTGATTCTTTTTCTTTTTGGTAGAAAAAATATATAATTGATTTCAAGTAGAAACGTCCAAACATGTGACTTTTGGTCATATTCTCCACAAATAAATTGTCTGAAGAACACTTATTTGATTCTTTTTCTTTATGAAACTTTTAATTTAGTCTATCTTGTGATTTTTTCCCCCCCTATGCTGGGGATGGAATCCAGGGCCTTGCACATTTAGGTAAGTATTTGACTACTGAGCTACAGTTCCACACCCTTTTGATTTTTTAAGTGAAAAAAGAATTTTTTTTGCAATATAGAAGTTGGAAAATACTACTGAAATAAATATGTGGATCTAGAGACTGTTCAAACTTCTTTATCTACTTGAAAGGATTTAAAATTTAGTGTTAAGAACAGATGGATCTTATATGATGAAAATGTAAATACTAATTTTTTGTACAAAAAATACTAATAAACAGAAGCATCTTACCTGGACAATATTATCTACATTGTTAAATTCGACACACTTCTGCCCTCTCTGGTGATCACAGTAATATTTATTTTGTTTCCACTGAGGGGGTGAGTGGGCACCAGATTGTGGATTGTTTGGTACATTGAGCTGCATCATCACCACTCCTCCACCAGGTGGCGCCAGCGGCATGGCTGAAAACCAGAATAATTAGGATACTGTAATTAACATTTTAGCAACTAGCTGTTATCTCTGAATATTAGGATAACAGCAATAATATAGTCTTTTTCTGGGCCAGGGATTTAGCTCAGCGGTTCAGTGGCCTGCCTTGCAAGTGCAAGGACCTGAGTTCAATCCCCGGTACCAAAAAAAAAAGACTTTCTGAATAAAATTTTAGTTACATATATAAGCCATATTTAAGCTTTAGTATATTATGTTACAAGCACTGTATTTAAAGTAAACTGTTTAGGCTCAAACATCTCTCAAAATAATAGTCCTTTAGTTACTCAATGGAGTCCATATACACTTCTGGCAGGATTTAGTAGAGAACAGCACAATATATATGATGTACAAAGATCTTTAATTTTTGAAAATGAATCGTAAATAGATATCATCATTATTATCATCTTGAGGCAAGGTCATGCTTTGTAGTTCAGGCTAGGCTTGAGCTCACTATGTAGCCCAGGCTGGCTGGACTTGAACTCAAGGTGATCTTCCTGCCTCAGCCTCCCAAGTGCTGAGATTACAGGTGTGTGCCACCACACCCAATTAATGGGTATTACTCTAAATATTTAAAATTGTGAAAAATTACTATCCTACAGAAATATTTAAATACAGTAAAAACTCATCTTTACAGAAAGTGAGTTAAAGGTTTGAGATATGGGGGAAGGAGAGTGTAATTTTAGTCCCTGAAATGTCCCCTAACTCTGGGAAAATTATTTTACCTCTTATTTTTTATCTTCTCATTGGAAAAAGTAGGCTAGAAAAAGTCCTCTCTGGTCAACTTTATAAAATTGTAAGGACCACATGTGTAAAAACACTGTTAACTGTATAACAGAAATAAGCAAATGAGCAGCCAGGTATGGTGACGCATTTCTGTACTCCCAGCACTCAGGAGGCTGAGGCAGGAGGATCGCTGTGAGTTCGAGTTTGAGACTAGTCTGGGCTATATAGTGAGTTCCAAGGTCAGTCTCAACTACATGGTGAGACCTTGTCTCAACCCCCCCCAAACAAAAACAACAACAAAAAAAGCAATAAGCAAATGACCATATCTTTTCCGATTTGTCTTGTGGACTAGTACTGCATCAGTGTACATCACTTTACACTAACCACTGCTAAATGAGGTAAGGTCTTGTGCCCTGCCTCCAGGCCTTCAGCTGGTACTGTGTTGTTAACCAAGGTGGTTTCTGGTTTCCTAGATATCGAAAACAAGTTGACGAGCATGTCCAACTGTAGAAGAGCTGGCAGCTTACAGATATCTCAAAATCTCCTCAGCCAAAGTGGCTCATTTAGCCACTACTGTCATTTACTGATAATCACTTATATATTTCTCAGGAGCTTACACATATCACAAATCATTAGAATAAATTTCTCCATAATACTAGAGGTTTGTACAAGATCGATGGAAGTACAGGGAAAGACTGAATTTTCCTGAAGAGTACAAGCAGCCTGTGTAGAACAGGTGGCTTTCTGAAACAAGGGTGAGAACGACGCTAGCAAACACGGATGGTAGATCAGTGTTTCAGACAAATGAAGAACAGGTACAAAAGTATTTGTGGTATGAAAACTAATTATTTTTGGTATTCAAATGTAAAAATACAAAATAATTTTTGGGATGAAAGAGTATATTGTATTACAGAAACTAAGTTTTGTGTGACTTGAGCATATATGTATAATTAGGAGGCTTGTTTGCCAGGGAATTTGTGGGGGGAATCAATCAGAGGAATAATGTGAGATTTCTGTTTCAGGACAGTAATTTTTGAAATTGTGTGCGTGCGTGTATATATGTGTATGCGTTTTGGGGAGGAGGAAAAGGTGGGGGGGAGGAAAACATGAAGTAAGCAGATTTGAGAGATTACTGCAGGGCTGGGTATTTAGCTCAGTGGCACCACACTTGCCTTGCAAGCACAAGGTCATGTGTTCAATCCCCAGTACAGAGAGAGAGAGAGAGACAGAGAGAGAGAGAGAGAGAGAGAGAGAGAGAGATTATTGCAAATAAAATATGAACAAACCCATCAAAGTTAGGAGCAGTGGGGGAAGGAAAGAAAATAATTAGGTCCGAGGACTTGGTAACTTTATCAAAGTGAATGGCAAGGACAGAAGAGGTTTAATTATCATTTTGAAATTCCTGTTTTGGTCCATGGGTGGAGAGTAAGGTAAGAAATGAAAATAGAGGTGAAAAGTAACTAGTCTGATGTATCTTTGACATATTTGGGTAGGGATATTCAGTACGGATATGGCTGTATGGACTTTTCTCAGCAGAAGTTAAGATTTGGAGCTGCTGGCAAAAAGCAGTAGTCGAAACTACAGGGGCAAGTTGGACTGTCCAGAAAGAACTTGGAGACTAATGAGAGGAAGGCCTGGAGAAGGACCCCAGAGAATATCAGGTGTGAGGAAGGAGAACTAGGAATGCAGAGCAGTACCAGGAGAAAGGAAGGAGTAGACTGTGTATAAGCCTGATTCACCCTAAACATCGTGAGTGTATTTCTCAAATTACAAGTTGAGAATTTTCTTACAGAAATACCAAAGGAAAAAAACAACAACAACAGAGCCACGCGTGGTGGCATACGCCTGTAATCCCCAGCACTTGGGAGGCTGAGGCAGGAGGATCACTGTGAGTTCGAGTTTGAGACCAGCCTGGGCTACCTAGTGAGTTCCAAGGTCAGTCTCAACTACATAGTGAGACCCTGTCTCAAAAAACCAAAAAAACAACCAAACCCCCTCAAAAGAAATACCAAAGAAAATTAACTGAACTCTTTCTCAGATGGGCAAACCCTGAGCTATTTTTCAGCAATATATTCGTACCAGAACACTGGTGGCCTTGAAGATGCTGAAAACCACATGGTGAAGTAGTTCGAGGAAACTGTAGTTGTTCTGATCCTGGATGTTGCAGGTAACCTATTGAAGAGCTGTAGGGAAAAAGCAAGATACAAACATAACATAATGAGATGAAGTAGATGAAAGAATCTTTGAACTAACAGTCCTACAAATTTATCTAAACATACAGATTTTCAAACAGATTAGTGGTAAAAGTCAAAACAATCTACTCTGTGACTAGTTACTTTATTGAACAAAATTTATTTTATGATTATAGCACTGAAACACCAAGAGAAAATTAAACTACTCATAAATGATTATAAATGTGTTTTGGATTATTCAAATGATCATTAAAAAAAAAGCCGTTAATTTTACAAAATACGAAGTAATATATTTTGGGGCCATCCTCTATCTCAATGGTTATAGCCCTCGTACTGCATGAGAGGGCCCTGAGTTCCATCCCCACCAAAAGACTACATAATAGAGAACTATATCATTTGACACTGATCAGACTCAATAAATATGTCTTGGAAAATGTACTAAGAATGAAGGTACCAACAGTACATATTCAAACATATTTTAATATAAAATCTGTAAAAAGGGGAAGTTAGTGCATTAAGTTACTCCTGTATATTTTAAGTCTTTGAGACTTAACCTCAATACAGGATTTGTTATAATTTTTCTAAAACTTTCTCATTAGCAAATTCTTTTAGGACAACAGTTCAAAGTTATAAAATAGTATTAAAGAAGATGCAAATGATCAGGAAACTTAATCTATATCTTAAGGCCCATTAGTCTTTCTTGAGAGCTTTTAGAAAAGCAGTATTTCTTAATCTGAACAATATTTTGGCACTTGCATCTTATATAGTTGTATTAAAAATAGTAATACTTTAATCCTACTACTGAATGAATTAGAGAATACAGGAAGACACGTGAAATGATATCAGATGATACACTAAGTCACGTCCAGGCCATGAGAAACTCTTTAAGGCAATGTTTGGAGACATAAGCAGTATTTGTGGAGTACATGTGCTATAGTTAAGGAATTAGTTGAAAAATTTTTGAAGACATCAAATGATATTACGAGGGTTAAAAAAAACACACAGGGTTTTAAGGATACCTATTCAGAAATACTTATAAATGAAAACTGGATGTGGTGAGCATGCCTATAATCCCAGCACCTGGGAGGCTGAGGCAGGAGAATCACTGTAAATTTGAGGACAGCCTGGGGTATACAGTGAGTTCAGGGTCAGCCTGAACTACATGGTAAGACCCTGTCTCAAAAAATAGAACCCCTCCAACCAAACAACCAATAAATAAACAACCTGAAATACTTGTAAATGAAATGACACCTGGAATTTATTTCCAAATAAGGTGGGAGGGGTCAGTGGCAGAGATTTAGATGAAAATAAGTTAGTCATTAGCTGATAAACGCTGAAGTTAGTGTGAACACAGGAGGGTTCAGTACAATTCTGTTTCCATTTATGGATGTGTAAATGTCTCCAGGAGCTGGAGGTGTGGCTCCGTGGTACAGCACGTTTATCCTTTTCAAGACCTTGGGTCCAGTACCCTTAGCAGCACACAGACATAGTCCATAATAAAAGGCTACAAAACATTCTGTAATTTAGACGGAGAAATGTCCTAATTAAGTAAAAATCAGTAGTCTGTTTTTTAGTGACAGTAGTTCTGTGTACAATAAAAGAGGAAAAGAACTATAAAGAGAGGATTTCATAAAAAGTGATTTGGGGACCATATGTGAAAGTAGTACTTTCTGAATCTAGAGTTAATCACTGTCAAACTGTATAGAATTACTAGGTACCTGTGGAAATAATATAGCTTAACAGACAATCTGTAAATGTGTCAATAATGAGAAAAAGCACGTTTCTCACAGGGTGGAAAGTTTTTAGATGTTGTTCTAACTCATGTGAATAGCTCCCTTCAGTCATGTGGCCCTTCTCCCTGATCGTGTTCATTATGCATATATTACTCAAGTTCTGAGTCACACAGGTGATAGGAACCCAGTAAAAGTAAGATAATTTTCACGTCATTGAACCAAGCAATGTATCCCACATTACTAAATTATGAAGTACTAATATAGTTTACCGGTAAATGAATAAAAATTAGTTTTCAGAACTAGGAAACTGAGTTGCAGGCCTGTGCTGAATCTTGTGCAAAAGACATACAGACAATTAAAAAGACACAGATGTGGTGAAGTGCTATGCTCTTTTATCACTTAAAACATTTTAGAAAAGAGAAAAGCAGAAAGTCAGTATTTAAATGTCATTCTCTAGTTTTATTTTTTGACATGCTGGGGACTGAATGCAGTCCTTTGAAGATGCTACATGAGTGCTTTACTACTGAGCAATACTCACAGCTCTGACTTTAATTCTTTCCTTAAAAGAATCTAATCTAACACATCTACTTGTATAATATAGCCGAAAAAAAAATCAGTTTTGTAGTTTCAAAAATTTCTCTTTTGGAAGATAGGAGAAAAAGAAACAGATATTTATTTGTTTAGGTACTGGGGATCGAAACTCGGGTCCTTGTGCTTGCGAGGCAGGCGGTGGAACCACTAAGGTAAATCCCTGGCACAAGAAACAGACTTTTAAAAGTAAAATACTAGGCCTTGTCCTGGAGAAGTCCTTATTTTGCCCTTAAGCAAATAAAATAAAATCTCATGAACCTGTTTAGTCTTAAACTTAAGACCTGATTTAAAACTATAAATGTATGAATTAAGAATAAGATCAGTAACACCAACTTTCAGAAAAAATAATACCAACTTTCAGAGGTATTAAGTATACTGTAACAAAAATTACTCGTTACTTTACCAAAATTTTGCCACTCTTGGGCTGGGGATGTAGCTGACCAACACAGCGCCTGCCAGGCAAGCATGAGGTCCTGAGTTTGATCTCTGGTACCAAAAACAAAACAAAACAAAACAAAACCCAACAAACTTTGCCACTCTTTAGGAGCAAGACTTTCTTGGAGTATAGTATAGATGTTTCAACTGAAACTGAAGTGAAGAACCCTAACAGGATCAATGCAGACTGATGAATGATTATAAGATATCCAAAAGTTTCTTCTGGCTTTTCTATAATATTCAACTTATTTATATAACATTCTATGATAAATCATAGGTAGAAATTTTCCTTTTCTCTAGTTACTTTTCTTCATTTTTACCATATTTTAAGATCAAAGCCATGATAAAAAAAAAGATTAAGTGTTTTCAAAATCAGAAACCTGGGCTGGGTTACGATAGCTCAGTGAAAGAGCACTTGCCTAGCAGCCCTGGGTTTGCTTCCCAACACAGCAAAATACAGCCTCCAGAAATGCACTGCAGTCCACCAAAGCATGAAGAATATTTTTTTATGTCTTATGATCCTTAAATGAATGCTTAAAATTGGCCTTGTAAGCCATGCTATTAATGCCATTTTCCTTAGATTAGATAATTTATTTGTGGTGGAAATTAATGCTTGATATTAAAATATACTCACTAGACAGTCTTGCACACTCAAATGACTTTATGCTGCTATCTTTTTTATTTTGCTGCTATCTATTTTAATGGCTTCTGACATTTAATATTTGAACTAGTGCAAAGCACCATCAATTTGGGTGTCAGAAGGGAACTTAGGTTTGAGTTCAAATACAACTTTTTATTTAGTGACTTTGAACCTATTATTTGAACTTTGGCTCTTTTGTCAATAAATATGTAGTTAATACACATATATTCATTTCCTCAAACTTTTTAATGAAATCAAAAGGGAAGAAGTACTGCTAAATTCATTCCTGGAAGCTAGCATTACCTCGATTCCAAAACCAGGCAAGGAGTCAACTAAAAAAGAAAACTACAAGCCAATCTCTTTAATTAACATAGGTATAGGTAAACAGAATGCAACAACTCATCACAAAGGTCATAAAAGGCAAACTTCAATCCCAAGAATTCGAAAATGGCCTAACATACAGAAATCAATAAATATAATATAACATGTAAGTAGAGGCCAGGACAAAAATCACATGATCATCTCAATAGATGCCTTTGACAAAAATCCAACATCCATTCATGATAAAAAACTTGAAGACTGGGTTGGGGATGTAGCTCAGTGATGCCTTGCCTGCCTGGAAAGTGCAAGGTCCTGAGTTTGATTCTTGGTACCAGAAACCAAAACAAAAGCTGAAGACAATAATTACAGGAAGACCTCATCTCAGTCTCATAAAAGACATTTATGATGAACCCACAACATCATCTTAAGTGGGGAAATTCTGAAAGTTTTCTCTCTAAGATCAGGAACAAGGCAAAGATGTCTGCTATTACCAGCTGTGCTCAATATAGTTCTTGAAACATTAGCCAGAGCAATCAGACAAGAGAAAGAAATTAAAGCAAGAGAATAGGTAAAAAGAGAAAAGGAGGAGACATCACAACCCTGGATTTCTAGTTCTATCATAAAGCTACTGTGATAAAAGAAACAGACATATGGATCACTGGGACAGAAGAGAAGATACAGAAGCAATCTGCTGCAAATTCAGCCACCTGCTATTACATAAAAGAACTAGAGACTTATGCTGGAGGAAAGATAGCCAGCCTATCTAGAAAATGGTGCTAGGAAAACTGGCTATAAATATGCAGAAATATGTACTAAAAATGTTTTTCCATGGCAGGGGAGCAGAGGTTGTTGTGAAGTTGACTGGGTACAGATTCAAGACTTGGGAAAGTGCAGGAGAGGATCAGGGTTAATCGATCAAACACTAACTCCAGAAACTACTTCAGAGGAGCAGGAATTTGATGGGATTAGGTCACAGAGCAAATTAATGACTTAAGCAGTACTGGGGACTGACTTCAGGGCAGGGAATCCAGTCAATTCATTAAATATATATAAACAATAGCATCACAAGGGAGCGGGGAGACAGTCCAGCACTGAGTGTTGTTACAATTTATTATGTAATATGTCCAATTAAAAGGCATTCAAGGAAACAGGAAAGTACAGCACATACACTGGAAAAAAAAAAATCAAGGAATAAAAGTTGCCCATGAGACAAGTTTTATCTTGTTTAAACTAATACAGAATATCAATAGACAGAAATTATAAGAAAGAGC